CGAGAACTGGGGAGTTTGATCGCTGAGCTAGGGCAACGACGGAGACGAGATCAAGGGGATGAGTATGTGATGCCATTAACCGTCACAGGCAACCATCTTCCCACAGGAAATATGTTTTTCAGAGCCTGCCAAATTTCAGACGAAGGATCCCAGTAATACAAAGGATAAAAAATTTCTCTACAGTTAAATACGAAGAAATCACACGAAAAAAGCCCTGTAACACGAATGATCAAAAATTTCTTCCCACTAATAGCATTGCCCAACGCATCCCAGTAATAACATTGCCCAACTCACCATAATTCCATCACAGGCAACCACACAAATAACATTTCTCTACAGGGAAGAGGAGTTGTGCAAAGCCATAAGGCATAAGAGGGATACCTGAGAAATTTCACACAACTTTCGATCCACCTCCTAACGATCTGTTCACCACCTAAAGGCCAGACGGGAAATGGGAGGGGAGGGGTGCACGGGATGAAGGGTCGAGAACTGGGGAGTTTGATCGCTGAGCTAGGGCAACGACGGAGACGAGATCAAGGGGATGAGTATGTGATGCCATTAACCGTCACAGGCAACCATCTTCCCACAGGAAATATGTTTTTCAGAGCCTGCCAAATTTCAGACGAAGGATCCCAGTAATACAAAGGATAAAAAATTTCTCTACAGTTAAATACGAAGAAATCACACGAAAAAAGCCCTGTAACACGAATGATCAAAAATTTCTTCCCACTAATAGCATTGCCCAACGCATCCCAGTAATAACATTGCCCAACTCACCATAATTCCATCACAGGCAACCACACAAATAACATTTCTCTACAGGGAAGAGGAGTTGTGCAAAGCCATAAGGCATAAGAGGGATACCTGAGAAATTTCACACAACTTTCGATCCACCTCCTAACGATCTGTTCACCACCTAAAGGCCAGACGGGAAATGGGAGGGGAGGGGTGCACGGGATGAAGGGTCGAGAACTGGGGAGTTTGATCGCTGAGCTAGGGCAACGACGGAGACGAGATCAAGGGGATGAGTATGTGATGCCATTAACCGTCACAGGCAACCATCTTCCCACAGGAAATATGTTTTTCAGAGCCTGCCAAATTTCAGACGAAGGATCCCAGTAATACAAAGGATAAAAAATTTCTCTACAGTTAAATACGAAGAAATCACACGAAAAAAGCCCTGTAACACGAATGATCAAAAATTTCTTCCCACTAATAGCATTGCCCAACGCATCCCAGTAATAACATTGCCCAACTCACCATAATTCCATCACAGGCAACCACACAAATAACATTTCTCTACAGGGAAGAGGAGTTGTGCAAAGCCATAAGGCATAAGAGGGATACCTGAGAAATTTCACACAACTTTCGATCCACCTCCTAACGATCTGTTCACCACCTAAAGGCCAGACGGGAAATGGGAGGGGAGGGGTGCACGGGATGAAGGGTCGAGAACTGGGGAGTTTGATCGCTGAGCTAGGGCAACGACGGAGACGAGATCAAGGGGATGAGTATGTGATGCCATTAACCGTCACAGGCAACCATCTTCCCACAGGAAATATGTTTTTCAGAGCCTGCCAAATTTCAGACGAAGGATCCCAGTAATACAAAGGATAAAAAATTTCTCTACAGTTAAATACGAAGAAATCACACGAAAAAAGCCCTGTAACACGAATGATCAAAAATTTCTTCCCACTAATAGCATTGCCCAACGCATCCCAGTAATAACATTGCCCAACTCACCATAATTCCATCACAGGCAACCACACAAATAACATTTCTCTACAGGGAAGAGGAACTATGCAAAATCATAAGGCATAAGAGGGATACTTGTGAAATTTCACACAACTTTCTATCCACCTCCTAACGATCTGTTCACCACCTAAAGGACAGACGGGAAATGAGAGGGGGGAGGGGTGCACGGGATGAAGGGCCGAGAACAGGGGAGTTTGATCGCAGAGCTAGAGCAACGATGGAGACGGGATCAAGGGGCTGAGGAGTAATATGTAGTGAGGAAACGCGGAACGCGGGGTAAAGGGAGCGGCGGACGATCCTTCGTGTTATAACGTAAACCCTTACGCACATTCTCCGACCGCCGGCCCCAACGCACTAACCAAACGCTTCTTCGGTGTTACGAAAACGCCGATCGTAGGGATAAGCTGCGCCAAACCGACCCTTAGTCTGAACCTTCCACTTGAAGAATTTTTAATGTGTTAAGAGAGTTATTTTTGTTTAGTATCCCCTTTTCATCATCTATATGGCTGATTAAGATTTTGTAGTACCCTAGATCATCAATGATAAACCTTTTATCCTTTACCACCATAATTGCTTTGTTATCTTTTTGGTTAGTTTACCGTGCAATGCCTATTTGTTTTTTGGAAGGTCCAAATTAAAAAATAAAATAAAATCATGCATTGCACCTTTAAAATCGTCAACAATACATTTAATAGTTGCTTCCATTCTTTTGGTGTTTGACTATATGTAGATTGTACTATTGTTGCTTTAACATGCTATCATTATAGAACCCTTACTCTTCTTTTAAGAATTAGTCAGGTTGTGTAAGATAGCGATAAAATTTTGAGCAAAATCAAATAAAGATAAGCGAACACATCACACATCACACATCACAGATCATAATTGCAGGACATATGTTTATTTGTTTAGGTGATATTTGCCTACATCTATGACCACATAGAGATTGAAATTCCATTAAAGTTTAAAAGTTGAATATATCAAATATTTCTTTTGTGCAGAAGAAGATAATTATGAGATATCGCTTTCACTATTTAATTGATTAAGAGAAAATGCACATGTTTGCTGTGAAAGTGAGTGTTGAGTTTGTAGAAGAAGGTTTTGTTGATGCTGCTATTACTGTCTTTCTTTCTTGGCTACTAAAGCTTTTTGCTCTCGTCTCTCCTCTACTTCAATAGCTTCTCTTTATTATAAATGAAATTTTAAGCATCTCTGTTCTCCGTCTTTGCTCTTTATATTTTCTTATGGTTGTCAGATGTTTCAATATTTTAGATCTATCTTCTTAAATAGTGCTTAGAGTTGGTAGGTAGTAAGGTTGAATTTATTAGGTGGATGATAAATGGTATTATAATGTATATGTTAGAAGATAGTAGCTAATGAATTTTAGGATTTAGGTATATGATAGTGGATAAAAGCTTGGATGACTGGGATTAAAAAAAAATTTCATATCTTAGCAGGTTGAAACGTTAACTTCTTCGCGAAGTTGCCCAACCAATATCAAGTTCATCCATATCTGAAGCTAGGAATATTGCTCACATTTTTAAGCTTTGAAGTAGTTCCATTATCAATTTTGATTTATACATCTTCAACTCTCACAGTACTTAGCACTTCACTATCAAATGGATAAACTTTTTTACAATCTCCTATAGTTAGCTGTAAACTTTTTTTATGGAGTGCTATGAAAATCGCATCTATTTGTATGATCCAGGACTCCATTAAACTATCCACGATTAGGATTGATGTATTAAATATCTCTTTATTTGTAGCATTCATAAATTCCTCTATATGATTTAAAGTTTGTCTACCCTTTACTCCTGACATACTCTTTTCATTTGATTGGACTTACCATACGATATCCATCACCAATATGATCATTTAATTGGCTCATTTGTTGATATTTGGATCGACCTTAATTTCTTCCTTTCTTGCACTTCTTCCTTTGCTGTCAAATTTTAGAGCAAGTGGTGAAGATCCTTCTTCTGATTCATGTCTTTTGGTGTTCTCACTCAAGTTTAGGTCAGAAGCATCAGTTAGATTTAACTTTTTAGACTAAAATGAACTAGTGACAACTATCACATTTCAAAACCAGCTCTCTAGAAATGATGAGAATAAGCTTAATATTTTATTGTCAAAGTTGATCAACACTAAGCTCACTTGACTTTTAATTATACTGAACTTAATTGTATGCACTGTTATGGAAGCACCCTCAACCATTCTATTTGAAAGATTTCTTATTAAATGCACCTTATTTATTGTTGTTGCTTTCTTGTACTACTATGGTAAAGTTTCCATTACACACTCTGGTTTTCTCGAGAAATAAAACGAAGGCAATATTTTTTCGCTGGTGATATCCATTCTACTCTTTAACACTTATCTGCCCAGGAGATCTTAGTCTTCTGGGCTAATGGTAGTGAGCTTCTTCGCCAAGGGAGAGATGCGACTTTTAATGGTACAAGCAGTTCTCAATTTGCATCTTCCACTACCCATAGCTTTTTCCATCGAATTGATCGATTCTAACTTCACCCTCTTTATATGCCACATTATTTACAAATTTCGTGCTTACTCTAAGGGTAATCTTGCTATGCTACCAAATGTTGGGAAAAAATGCATGCTCGAGAGTAATGGCAATCACAAGAATGAGAAGAATAACCTTCGTGTAGAACACCAGAAAAAGAACGTGATATTTTACATTATTGTGTGAAATCTACTTATGTCCATGGCGACATTGATAAATAAATATTGACTAATTCAAAGACATGCAAGATGCAATATTTTCTTCTTTCTTCACTAGCCTTCTTCCTCTCTCAAATTCCCTCTCTAAATTTGAGCATGAGTCCTCCATTTATGCTCACTGGAGAGAAAAAGAAAAACTTCCTTCTCACCTTCCATCTTTGTTCTGTTGCTTTTATCAGCGTCGTCAGGTCATCACTTTCTTGTTACACTTCCCAATTTATTTATTTAAACTATTCTCGTGTATAGAGTTTAGTGAAGTAGGAATTTTTGTATATGGTTGTAATTGATATGAATTGATAAGTCTCTAGCTGCAACATCTCTGTTTCTACTTGTTTCTGAGCTTTCTGGAATCGTTAGGGTTTCTCTACTACGTTTTGTGTATTCCCTTGCACACATACAATCATTGCATTTAAATTTTCAGAATTGTTCCTCAACTCCTCTGGGTTTCTTCTTATTTTCATGCTTTTCAGGGCTCTTCTGGAACAATTTGCACTGTTATATAATTTCTTATATAGTTTGCAGGAGCAGCACAGTCTCTGGGAGCTGGTGCCTTACTTGTAAATCCATGGAACATCACAGAGGTTGCTAATTCAATAGTCTATGCATTGAACATGCCTCCTGATGAGAGAGAAAAGCGCCACAGGCACAATTATGCCCATGTAACTACTCATACAGCCCAAGACTGGGCAGAAACTTTTGTAAGGTATGAATTTGATCAATGATGCCTAATATGATATAAGTAGACTATTTTTACAAGGGAAGGTTACATACATACGACATTATTCTTTGTATTAACCTATCTAACACAAACTTTCTTATTTATTCTGTGAAGTGTGAACACATCACATACCTTTTCATCCCATTCAATATCTGTGCTAACCGCTTGTTACAAATGAGTAAATGATTCCGTATTTGTATTAGCATGTATTTATTGATAAAGAAACTTTCTTTCACAGGCATTTTGATGCCCTAGAACATTATGTGGAGATCATTTTCTCTCATTTTTTGCTCTCTAATAAAATAGGATCATGATCCATCTTGTTTTTTCCGTAATAAAATTTAGGCACTTGAATGTTTCTCCACGTGGCTCTACTGCACGATTTTTTTGTATGTTAGACTCTTGTTTCTTCTGGTCAGTTCCCCTTAACTATGCCGTTAGTTGAGGTGCTCCTAAGTTTTGGCTTCTATATTTCATCCACAAATCTTAAACTGTAAAATGAATTCTATGCTGCTACTTAACAGTTATTAAACACATTTTATTAGCATAGATTTAATTTTATTTCTGTTTATGTGCGTTGATTCATACTCACAAATAGAATAATCATGTGCCTCGAGTGTGCTTTATATTTTTCAAGATTTGCTTTGTCATTGTGCCTTGTCTTTGTATTCATTCTTCATATTCTCATCTTCTACAGCACAGTCAAAACTCTGATTCCCTGATGTGAACAATCCTGCTCATGAAAGTTCTTTTACCTTAATTCCGTTTTTGTTTCCCTGTAGTGAACTCAATGATACTGTTGCTGAAGCTCAGCTAAGAACAAGACAGGTTCCACCAGCACTGCCTTCCGAATTAGCAATTAATCAATATTTGCAGTCCAAGAATCGACTTTTGATACTGGTATTGTCTGATTTTACACTTCATGTTTAGATTTCATTATTTAAAAAAAATTGCATGCAATGTTTATTAATTAATTAATTTTAATTCTGAGCTTTGTTGGTTGACTACTACAGTGTAAGATGTTATAAAAGCCAAATCAATTTGTCCAAAAATAAATGTGTAAACACGTACTAGAAAGAGATGCTTATTTATCCTGTTTCTCAGGGGATTAAACCTAATATTAGAACTTATAACCTAAATCCCTAGTGCTATTGATCACATGCAATATTGATAAACAATTGCTAAAATTTTTGTAAATATAGAGTGGGTTTTTTTTTGTATAGACTTTAATGGCAACATTTTAACTGACCCAGCTACACTATTTCATTTTATAACAATTTGAATTTGAACGCCTTAGTTTGAGTTATTATTCGTGTATGATTTTGTTATTAACATTTTTTCAGTGAGTCTTGCACATGTTCAAAACTGCAGGGTTTTAATTCAACTCTAACAGAACCGGTTGAGTCTTCTGGAAGGAGAGGTGGAGATCAAATCAAAGAAATGGAGCTTAAGTTGCACCCGGAGTTAAAAGGCCCATTGGCAACATTGTGCAACGATCCGAAGACTACCATTATTGTCCTTAGTGGAAGTGACAGAAGTGTCCTGGATGATGTACAAATTTTTCATTACTTCATTTTCCTGTTTCATTAGATATTTTCCGTCCCTTATACTTTTTTTTTTTTCTCCTCAGAATTTTGGTGAGTATAACATGTGGTTGGCAGCAGAAAATGGAATGTTTTTGCGTCTTACTGATGGAGATTGGATGACAACAATGCCAGAGCATCTAAATATGGATTGGGTTGACAGTGTAAAGGTGATTTTAGCTCTATGATTTGTATTGCGTGCTTGATGAACATTTGGTGCTTATTGATTATTGCTCTCAACTTCATTGGATTTACCAGCATGTTTTCGAGTATTTCACGGAAAGAACACCAAGGTCTCATTTTGAACATCGGGAGACATCACTAGTCTGGAACTACAAGTATGCAGGTAGTTCTTATGCAATCAATGACTTATTTTATGTGGCATTTACATAGCACACAATTCTGATGTATTTACATATCTCACACCTTTACCTTCATATTTACACACACGACACTCAATTTTTTAATATCACATGAAAAATAGCACTAGTATTACCTTTAAAAAGTGAAATACACCTTTTAACACATGGGTATAAAGTACCAGAGTGCTATTGAAGCGGGGGCTATGGAGGAAAGGCCGGTCCTCAAAGGGAGGGGGGGTTATCGCTCCTCTCTTTCCCCTTTCATTTCCTCCCCTTCTTTCTTTTTTTGAACTTGAGGCGGGGGCTATGGAGGACCGGCCGGTCCTCAAAGGGAGGGGGGTTATCGCTCCTCTCTTTCCCTTTTCATTTCCTCCCTTTCTTTCTTTTCTAGAACTTTCCTATTTTAAATCATTTCCTAAAATAGCACTTTGGTACTTTATTACCATGGTTCTTATGCAATCAATGACTTATTTTATGGGGCATTTACATAGCACACAATTCTTATGTATTTACATATCTCACACCTTTACCTTCATATTTACACGCATAACACTCAATTTTTTAATATCACATGAAAAATAGCACTAGTATTACCTTTAAAAAGTGAAATACGCATTTTAACACATGGTATAAAGTACCACAGTGCTATTGAAGCGGGGGCTATGGAGGACCGGCCGGTCCTCAAAGGGAGGGGGGTTATCGCTCCTCTCTTTCCTTTTTCATTTCCTCCCTTTCTTTCTTTTCTAGAACTTTCCTATTTTAAATCATTTCCTAAAATTTGAAATCCTAATTATATTTTATTCTCCTTTTATATTTTGAAGTCCTTTCCAAAATCTGAATTTTGATTACTTTATTTACCCTTCCTCAAATCTGATTTTCCTTCACTTTATTTCCTTTCCTCGATCTGAAACCTGATTTGATTCTTCCTTCTTATTTTATGTATTGCCTAAATAAAGTCCTAACCTCAATATAAATAGAGGATGATGCGTTTAGAGTTAGGTGTCTTATTTTTTATATCTGAATTCAGGTTTTAGCCTTGATATTATCCCTTTGAGTATTGTTTCCAATGTCAATCTAGTGCTCGGGCTGTCTCTCGTTTGAGGTGGCGATCGTCTCCAAGGTCCGAGCAGTGCTACGACTGTAGCAACCCCAATGAGACATTTATCTTACCGTACTTCCATTTCCCTACTATCATTTCTGAATCCAGCCCCTACAACCCCTTCTTCCACTGCTGTCAGCCACCTTCCTGCTCCTATCCAGCCACGCAACTCCCCTTCCACTGCTGCCAGCCTTGCTCCTTTCCTCAGGACTCCGTCAGCTTACTCCGTCAGCTGCTGTCTTCCTCGTTAACCACCTATAAACAGCCCTTCCATCTCCTCCCTGCCCCTGGCCAGCCATCTCAACAACCCGCCAGCCTTACTGCCCCCTCTGGTTCCTTCCCTACAGATTACAATCACCACTGTCCATTTGACAGCATCGCTCTAACAACAAACTAACGACTCTTCCTTGTAGCTTCCCTGCAGGTCACAACAATTGCTGCCCTTCCAAGCTTCCTATAACTGTGGTTTGATGCCCCTACCCTTGTTAATTTGTTTCACATCCCTTCCACAAGAGCGAGACACCTCTCCGGCCTTCATCGCAGTCGCATCAAACTTGGTCTTCTTTTGTCAAGTCTTTATTTTTAATCCATTGTTTTACGCTTTTGTTTTATGTGTTCTCTTTCTTTCTTTTGAGTTTTCATTGTAACCTTGTTTAAGTCATTAATAAAATTATGTCGTGTATAGTGGTTTGGGTTAACTTCGGTATCATTTGGTAATAGAGCTAGTTCAACCCTAATTTCATCTTAGGATTTCTAGCATCCGCCCCTACTCAATCCTCACAATAAAATAAATACTTTCTTTCACATTATTTTCTTTCTTTGTTCTTTCTTTTATTTCCTTCCACAGATCCCAAATCCTAACCATGCCACCAAGGAGATCTATGCCCGAGCCTACCAGGATGAGATACGGCCAGAGCTCTACCATCTTCAGCAGAGGCTTATGGATATTGAAAAGAAAATTCAGTGGGAGGTTACTCTAATATACTTCTCCTTCATAGCCACCTTCTTTCTCCCGTCCAGCCACTGCATCCGCTCTGCCAGCCTTGCTTCTTCCCTCAGGACCTATTCCAGTCGTTGGCTTCTTCTTTAACCACCTACTAAGAGCCCTTCCAGCTCTTCCTGCCCCCGGCCGACCGCCAGCCCTCCCATCAGCCTGCTAGCCTTGCTGCCCCTTGGTTCCTTCCCCACAGACCACAACCACCGCTGTCGTTGTCAGCGTCGCTCCAACAACAAACCAACAAATTCTCCCTTCTGCTTCCCTGCAGGCCACAACTATCACTGCTCTTCCAAGCTTCCTCCAACTGTGGTTTGATGCCCCTGCCCTCGTTGATTTGCTGCCCATCCCTTCTGCATCAGCGAGACACCTCTCCAGCCTTCACGGTATCCGTCTGCCTTCCACTACCACTCAAACTCCCTCCACATTAAGTTTGTTATGTCTTCTATTGTCGAGTTTTTATTTGTAATCTTTTGTTTTAAGCTTTTATTTTGTGTGTTGTCTTTCTTTCTTTTGAGTCTTCATTGTTACCTTGTTTTAAGTCATTAATAAAATGTTGTCGTGCATCGTGGTTTGGGTTAACTCCGGTATCAGCTAAATACATAAGAATTGTATGCTACTTATGTAAATTTCCTTTATTTTGTTCTATAATATTGCACATTCAATGCTAATGCTACCTTGTTTGCTTCATTTTCGCTGTTTACGAAGATGTTGATTTCGGAAGGCTCCAAGCAAGGGATATGCTACAACATCTGTGGACAGGCCCAATTTCTAATGCAGCTCTTGATGTTGTCCAAGGTAGCAGGTCAGTTGAGGTTCGTTTCGTGGGAGTGACAAAGGTGGGTCAACCTGTTTGAAACCAATGTTGATGTAGAAAGTTGCAGTTACAGAACTGAGACGACTCATGATAATCTATTTTTGGATGTAAATAGTAGGAAAGGAATTTGACTTCTGAGGTTCTTTTATTCCTAGTTTTTTCAGTTGTCAGTCGGTAGTTGTAAACCATGTGTTCAATTTAAGAGAAAACTTGGTGCTTTTTGGTAATTAACCTTTCCTTTATACCTAATTAATTTGTTCTTCTCTTCATCATCATCAGTTAGCCGAGTTCAGGAGTTCATCTTAGCTGCAACTCAAAATTATTGAGTAGATTTTGATTGGACTCTAATTCAATTGATTCCAATCATATCAAAGATGATTCCAAGTTGACTAGAGATTAAAATAAAAATGTATTGGAGGGAGGGATTGAACCCATGATCACTACTTAATATATCAAAATACTAACGATTGAACAATTATTAATTTATTGATACTATGTGTTGAATAAATATAAATATATAGCAAGTTTTAGCAGTCCGCATGTTAACTAGTGATCATGGGTTCATTTGGATTTATTTATTCATAATTTATCTTATGCTTTTCAAGGACTATTCTTGGCGACTTGTATTAAAAAAGTTCATTGAAGACTAATCTTTATTTTGGATCATAATTGTTTTCATCTATTACATCTTCATGGAATTTACTGAAGTTTTAATATCTTTAATGTATACAGGGTGCCGCAATCGATCGGATATTGGGAGAAATTGTTCACAGCAAGAACATGAGTGTGCCGATAGATTACGTTTTATGCATCGGTCGCTTTCTTGGAAAGGTTGATTTTTCTTAACACTTATTTTCTCTAACTTCTAGTATTCTCATGTTGTTTATTTGTTCGCTAGTTTTTCAAAATCATTTTATCTTGTGTTTTTTGATGTAGATTGTTAAGAACAAATCTATAAGAATTAGTATGTAAATGGGAAAATCATGAATTTGGTGAAAAGAAAGCAAGCTTTAAGGTTGGTCATATCATAATCATCATTAGCTTTGTCTTAATTATTCAATTTTAGCTTTATGAATCCTAATTTTCTTTTTTGTTTGATTGAGTGTTGCATGGTATCAAACCTGCCTTACTGATATATTTTTGCACAAAGTTTAACCATAATTTGTCAATTCCTTATTCTTCCTTTAGTATTAATTTTATTTACCATCTTATTGATGCATCTTATATCATTTATTGTGCATGCCCAAATCCATGTTGTTTATTTTCACAATTCTGAATTTCAATTGATTTTAATTTGCATCATCTCTGTAGTATACTGATATTTTAATCCATTCTTTTTGGTATTTTTACACATTAGTTAACATTCTCATTTTCAAAAATCTTAGGTTGGCTATTAATGTCTTAATACTCCTCAATCCTCATATAATACAAACATTGTAGCCCACCTTATTGCATTTTATTAAAGTTTATCTTTAAGATTACTTGCTGTTCTCTTACTGTACAGTGCTCATAAGACATTTCTCTATTTTAACTTCTCTAAATATTCTCATTTATTCTCATTCTTATGCAATAAATTTGAATTATTTAAAAACTTCTTACATGCAAGTGTCACTTTATAATTCTAGCCTTAGCATCGCATTCTCTAAAATTACTAATTATAGACCCTTGAGGTTTCTGTTTGGTTTAAATGTTTTTATTTTGCACCTTCAAATACAAAAAAAGTGGCATTTTTTATATTAAAGCCTTGGGTTGTATAAAAGAAAAAAGAAAGGTTGTAAATACATAAGAATTGGGTGTATGTATGTAAATGCTCCTACAAAAATTTTGCTATTTGTTGCCATTAGCACTTTCTTTAATCTATGATTCAAATATCCTATTTTCACAATTCTGAATTTAAATAGATTTTAATTTGCATCATCTCTGTAGTATACTGATATTTTAATCCATTCTTTTTGGTATTTTTACACATTAGTTAACATTCTCATTTTCAAAAATCTTAAGTTGGCTATTAATGTCTTAATACTCCTCAATCCTCATATAATACAAACATTGTAGCCCACCTTATTGCATTTTATTAAAGTTTATCTTTAAGATTACTTGCTGTTCTCTTACTGTACAGTGCTCATAAGACATTTCTCTATTTTAACTTCTCTAAATATTCTCATTTATTCTCATTCTTATGCAATAAATTTGAATTATTTAAAAACTTCTTACATGCAAGTGTCACTTTATAATTCTAGCCTTAGCATCGCATTCTCTAAAATTACTAATTATAGACCCTTGAGGTTTCTGTTTGGTTTAAATGTTTTTATTTTGCACCTTCAAATACAAAAAAAGTGGCATTTTTTATATTAAAGCCTTGGGTGGTATAAAAGAAAAAAGAAAGGTTGTAAATACATAAGAATTGGTGTATGTATGTAAATGCTTCTACAAAAATTTTGCTATTTGTTGTCATTAGCACTTTCTTTAATCTATGATTCAAATATCTCTCTGTCCATCTGTCATCTTTCTTGTTTTGGAATGAAGATTACAGAATGATTGGAAACAATTTTTGCGCCAGATTTTTTAATCATTATCATCTTAGAGAACCATTTCCTACATATCAGTAATATTATCTTTTTCTGCTGCTTAAATAATTCTTCAGGACGAAGATATCTACACATTCTTCGAGCCGGAGCTCCCATCCGAACCCTTAGCCTGCTCCAGATCAAAAACAGCAGAAATTTTCAAATCATCTGCCGAGAAGAGGAACACAGGGAAGCCTTCCAACATCAAAAACACCATGAGAGTCTCTCATGGAAGGAACCAGAAGGGCTCCTTTTCATTAGAAAGGAAGGCTTCGTCCTCATCTTCTTCATCATCGCCATCACTATCATCATCATCATCCAACCACAACCACAATAATAACAATCTAAACCCCTCGAAATCGGCTCAAGACACCTCTTCCTGGCACGAAGGATTCTCCGTGCTCGATCTCAAGGGTGACAACTACTTCTCCTGCGCTGTCGGAAGGAAGCGGTCGAGCGCGAGGTACCTTCTCAACTCCTCAGAGGACGTCGTGCTGTTTTTGAAGGAATTAGCGGAGTCATGCACCCAAAATGGTTTTGTTAATCCTAGCAACCATTTCTTGAATGCTGATAGGATGAGATGAGAGGTATTGTATTACAGAAGGTGTCGTGTGTGCCCCCCCCGTTTGACTGTGGAAAGAAAGCTTGTTTTTTTGCAGGCAATGTTTTTGCAGGGAAGGGGCTTTAGAGGAATGGAGCATTCTTAGGTATTCTATAATGTTTTATATTTTATGTGTTATTCATAATGTTAATCACGGTTAATTTGGTAACATTATGTGTATAATTGTTGGTGTTGGCTTTTTTTTTTTGTAATTCTAGCAACTCATTGCTTGTATAATAATAAACTCTCTTCTTTTAGGTTCTTGGTTATACCATTAATGAGTGGGATTGTTGTGTTTCACCTAAACTTCAATTTATATATGTCACTTTATCAAAAGATGTATTTTATCCTTTATATGAAAGACTTGGGGGCGGTATAAATGTAAGAAAAAGTAAAGTTTAGGTGTCAGATTTGCAAATTACATAGGAGTATTATGTACGAAAATGCCCAAAAAATTGAATTTTATGTGGTGTAAATACATAGGAATTGATTGGTATGTGTGTGAATCAAGTCAAAATTTATTTTATTAGAAATTTAAATTTAACGACCAAATTATATATTGCAAGAAACAATTGACGATACATTACGAATTGTTGGATGTTGATTAAATTATTATCCTGTATTGGAAATGATAATGTGTTTTTTAATTTTTTTGGTTTAGTTGGTGTTTGTTCAAATTAAATTATTTAACTTTTATTTCAAATTTAATTTTTTTTATGTGCCATGCCAAAATTTGGGTGCCATAAAGGTAAAAAGTAAGGTCTTATATATGTAAAAAGGTCTACATATATATGAATTTTTTTTTTACATTTATAACACCCAAATCTTTCATATCACAACAACAACATTTCATGCATATAGATAAGATGGCATATATGGACCACCATTTCATGCATATAGATAAGATGGCATATATGTAAAAGTTGAAAATCAAGTATTAGATATGTAAATACATAGGAATTGTATAGTATGCATGTAAATCTTCCTATTTATCATAATCATCGAATTTACTTTTAAGTATATATTAATACTAATCTCAAAAGAAATATAATGATCAAAAATCTCAATCCGTTTTGAGTCAGAAAATCCTGATCAAATTTTCTCCGTTGACATCACACAATCCCACCCTTGTTTCACAAATCAAAAGAATGCAGATTTGCAAATCAGGATTCATAAAAAAAAAATTTCTGAACTTGCCCTCTAAAATGTGAATTCAGTTTGAACTGGAACAGTGTACAGAAAAGGCATTACACACATACCAATCCATTCTTATGAATTTACATACATACCATCTTACCCGTGCACAAAAAGGTGTATTTCACTCCTTAAAAATTAAAAAAGTAGTCTTTTTTTATGTGATGCAAAAGATATGGATGGTATAAATGTAAAATGAAAAATTTTGGAGGAGTTAGATATGTAAACTCATAATAATTGACTGATATGTATGTAAATGCCCCCAAATAAAAAGGCAAACATTTGAGACAGACAAACAAGTATATACTGAAAGAGTTCACAGAAAACATCCTGCTCACAAACATATTTCATAGGTTTTTTTTTTTCACTTAAAACACATTTACAGAATTACCACACTTTCAACGTATAAAACCCAAATCTTTGCAGATACAATCAAGGAAAGCACAGTGCCTGCTTTTGAAATAAGATTTCACGCTGAGAAAAGAGCAAACCAGAGGAGAATTGTGCAAGAAAATGGTTTTTACAAGTGAGTGAAAAGAAGCCAAGCAACAGCAGCCAACATGACGATGACAACGACAGACAAGAGCAAGCAGATGCACGAGCAGCCTCCTTTCGTACGCTTGTTAAGGATGGCCAACCTCTTTTGCACACGCTGCATGTGTAAAACATAAAATTTAAAGGGTGAAAAGTTAAAAGAGAAGGAGAGAAACTCAGCCTGCTATTATAAATAATGGAAATAGCAAAAAAAAAAAAAAAAAAAACTGCTATTAAAATGATTGAATGATTTTGCTTTTAGACCATCTTTTTAGAAAGATTTATAGACATACCACTCAAATATTATGTATTTACATATCTATACCTAAACTTTTAAAATAATGATACTTCTGATGTGATATGAAAAGATTTGGACGTATAAATGTAAAATGCAAAATTTAGGTGCTATAGATAAAAATATATAAGAGTTGGGCGGTAGGTATGTAAATGCCCTTTCTTTTTAAACTTATATTTAGGGAGATAAAAGGTAAAGAGTTTGAAGCATTGGATGTGGAATGAAGATGATTACTTGGATCCCGATCACATGACGAAAAAAAAATTTATGTGTTTATTCATCAAAAGAAGTTCATTTGTTTTCATTAATTATTTTATTCAATGTTATTTTGTAATTCCAGTAGTTGATGATGGATGGCATTAAGATGAGTATTTTCTATTTTCAGATGTTCGATTGGTTTATATAAATCTATTATGAAATTAAGTTGGTTTGGTTCTATGATACCTTCAAGTTCAATCAAGCTGACATGGACTGTATTCCCATGTTTTACTTTCTGGGAAAGAACCAATTTTTCAAGATGGTTATCTATCTATTCCTATGACTATGATCGAAATTTCTTTAATTATTAAATGTTGTTTTGAAATTTCATATTATGGATTATGGAGAAGATTGGAATTATGAACTAGAAGGCTATATGAAATTGAATAAGGTTAATCTTTGTGCAGATCATATCCAAGAGTCAATAAATAGTTGTTTTTAGGCATGTAAATTATTATTTAAATTGAAAAAAAAAAATCTCTTCTAGTTTATAATTTTGTGAGTACAAATTGAACGATTTCTTCAAGTGTTGGTATAAATGTAACTACTTGTTTTTGGCTTATTATTGCTCTTATATTACTTGTGGTCATTAAATAACAATTACACATGGATTTTGTATCGTTCAAATTTCTTGATAAGCCCTTTACATTTAATTGATTATCATAATATCGCTTGGGTTGTAGATCTCTTGTTTATTTTTTACATTTAAAAAAAAAGTAATTTGCCAACTTATTTAATGGTTTCTTATTAGTGAATAATAAATTCTCAGGATTACACATTACAACAATAAATTTGCATCAAGAATTCTAATCCTTAATTATCCTGCAACAAATTGTTATCTAAACTTATGACTGCATCATCATGTCAAATATATTTAGGACATGTAAATTGGTATAATAAAAAAAATTAACAAACACGCAATTTTAAAAAATAGGTAGGTTATTGTTCAAGCTAATAACAAGAGAACAACGGCGAGGTAACATAACTCCTACATTTTATGTGGGCAAAACCTTAAGAACATAAAATATATACTGACAATATCCTATAATTGGTAAATATTAAAATGAATTGCATAAACCAACTCAGAGTCGTACACAAAAAAATTCCAGCATTGTTTAAATCATATTATCGAAGATTTACACGCCATGTAGCGACACATAATTAACCTTCAAATCATGTTTGTTATCACTCTTGCTTAATTAAATGACTAAGCAAAAGTATACAAATGAACTAAGCTACAGTTCATAAAAAATATTATTTGTTGTTTCAACTAAAAATATTCTATAAAGGATATCGCACTTATGCCAGTTCTCAAGGGAAACTCAGTGATATCTCATCCAAACAAATTAAATTAGTAAAATCCTATAAGTGGATTCCATTAAGGTAATTGTAATAAATCAATATCCTAGGTGATTCAATACATGTATTTCTCCTCCTTAATTTATCACATCATCTCTGTTAATTAAATCACCACAGCTCTTCTCGTTCATCCTATCCTCATATTAATGAAGCAGAATGGCAATCATCAAATACAGCCACAGACAGGAATCTACATCTGGCATCAAAAATAAAAAGGAAAATTTGCATACATGCCAAGTCTTATGTATTTTATCTTTCATCTCACATCTAAAATACCACCACTTTAACTTTTAAAAAGTGAATTACACCTTTTCATGCATAGGTAAGGTGGCATGTATGTAAAAATTTAAGTTTAGGTGTTAGATATGTAAATACATAGGAATCGAGCGGCATGGATGTAAATCCTCCAAACAAGAAACCAGGGTGAAAATCCTATGTTTTCATGGCTGAATTTGCTCTCAAGAATGTTCATGATAAATCTAATATTTTCAAAATGTTAAAAAATTGCAATGAACAAATCACATATTCATGCCTAGCAACAAGATCGCATCAAAGGACCCGACACACTTATGACGAAGTGCCACCTGAAACACCTTAGAGTGCTTAGATCACGTTTGTTTGGGTGGCAGCCCTCGAGTAAACACCATTTTAATATTGGAGAACATTCCATAAACATCTTTTTTTTTCCTCCAAAATTATTTTCTTGTTTGACAGATGTGCACCAACATAAGTGTTACTATGTGAACTTGCCCTGGATTCTTCAACTTTATTGAAGAAATTCCTTTAAATTATTAAGAGCCACCTCTTTTCTCATTCAAGCATTAGACATCGAATTATTCTTCAAATCCTTATAAGTTATAATTCTGTATTTTTCTAGCACACCTCGTGTATTTTCAAATTGTATGGTTTTGTGATATAACTAATCAAGTCATAACATAATGTTTTGAATCTTAAATAGCATCAAATTTTATCAAGAACTTCTTAATTATCTTATCTGCTAATTACCTGAAAATGTAATAATGCCTCGTTTGAGCCAGCGTTGCAGTTGAAAAAATTTGGTTTAAATGCTATGGGTAGAATAACGCCATTAAAATGCTCCGGTCGCTAAACGCCATGTATGTTTGAATAAAGGCTTCGTTTGACGGCGAGGCAGAACACCGAAACAAAGGACACGATCCAGAACACTGAAACGGAGGGACCTCCTCATGATCTGAAAAAGACGAATTTCGCCGTTCCAGTAGACGCGCTTCTACTGAAGCTTGTTGGCCAAACGACCTCCAGCATTCTTCTGACGTTTTCCGAAAAGGAAAGGAGGCAAGTCGTGCGGCCAAACGAGCCCTAAATTATGATGCTATTATTATTATTATAATTTCTAAAGATATTTCTAAAGAGTAGATTTTACTGAAATCATTAACTAGCCACCTAAATCTTGTCACCTTTCAATGCCAATACATGGCCACTCTAAAGTTAACAAAAACCTACAAAAAAATGCCCATAAAATGGCCCCAAATATGACACAATCATCGCAAGGTTTGGCACATTCGACTAAATTACTTAGGCAACTGTATCAACCATCTAAAGAAAGGTTAACACCTAGTAATCTGCTATTCACACCTCATGCATCAATGTAATGATAAATGTAAAATGAGACTCATAAAGAAAACTCCAAATGGTTGTGATAATGATGATGATCATGATATATTAAGAGTATTAAGATTTAGAACCTTAATGGTTGCTCTTGATTTCGTTTGTAAGAAATTTCGGGAATTACTCCGTTACTGTCATCTTCAACCTTAATAATATGACATGATTTTCCCCATTTTGATAAATTGGTTGATTTGTTTCAACCATTCATATGCTGGTGAATTTAAAAGATTTATTTATGTATTGAATTTAGATATTGATATCATGTTGCATATAAGATTAGAGTAAGTAACAAAATGGTCATCTGATTGTGGGGGATCATTTTAATCCTGAAGTTTATAAAAGTGCAATTTAGTCACTGGACACTTTTAATATGGGTTAAAATAATCCCAACTAATAAGTATTTTAACCCCATAAAAAGAGTAAGGCAAGGAAATAATTTAGCATTTTTATAAATCTTGGACTAAAATGGCCTCATAATAGACTGGGGACTAACTTGACAATTTACTCTAAAAAAAATCTAGAAATTTCACACTAGTTGAAAAATCAACATGCAAATACACAGGTTCTACTATTGAATCTGGTTCAAACTCAAAAACCAAACAACTGTATATTTGGATAATATCGACATTTACTAAAACTTCCACACCATACAACATCGAACCAAAATTCCATCACAATTTACTAGAATGATGTTACCTGAAGCCGAGAGTCTGTAATATCAACATGTTCATCCAAGTTGTCCTGAAAAGAAAAAAAACATTAAAAATAAGGGGCATTTACATACATAACAGCCAATCCCTACGGATTTGCATATCAAACACCTAAATTTTACCTTTTACATTTACACTGCCCAAATATTTCATATCACATAAAAAATACCACTATTAACGTTAAAAAAGTAAACCCTAAACCCATAAAAAATACCAATATTCACCTTTTCATGCATAAGTTAGGAGGCATATTTGTAAAAGTTGTGAAGTATAAGTGTTAGATATGTAAATACATAGGAATTAAGTGGTATGTCTGTAAAGCTTGCTAAAAATAATTTAAAATATGATGCGAGAAATAAAAATACAGCAATAATAAGAGTATAAAAATCTATAAAATGTTGTGCATACAATTAATCTAGTTTGTAAATCCAGCTCTTCATTAACGGCCAATGCAATATGCTTTGTGCTCAATACTGTTTCCTCCAGCTTTTCGAGGCCCTCGTCTTGCTCTATTTATCAATAAAAATATAAATAAATATCAAACACAGAAACACACAAATGAAACTTAAATTCCCTAAATATACCTTTCATAATTTGCCGTTGCAGAACAACAATACCATGATTATCCAACCCTGTAGTTCTGTTTATCTCATCAGATTTTTTACTTTGTCCAAGTAACTCTTCCCTGATGAGACAATTAATCACATCTGAGGGCAGTTAAAATCTGGAGCCTTATATGAGTTTTTGACTCGATAACATTAATTACAAGGGAAATTTACACATGCAGCAACAATTCTCATGTATTTACAAAAATCACACCCAACTTTCATATTTACGTAGAAAAGACTTTGGTGCTTTAAACATGCATGAAATAAAATTTCAATTTCAAAAGTGCTAATAGTGCTATTTTTTATGTGATATTAAAGATGTGAGTGTTATGTGTATATAAATATGAAAATTTAAGTGTGAGATTTGTAAATACATAAGAATTATGTGGTATGGAGGTAAATGCCCCTATTTTAGATGGAAAAACCTATTTTAAAAAACCAGGAAAAGAAAATTTAAAAATTATACAAAATGACAGCAATGAAGAATGATGATACTACCTAGTAGCAAATTTTGACATGTTTAATGCGGACGCCATTTGCTTTACTTTCGATCTCAAATTTGAAAGTGTGTCTTGGCGCTTATGGAGCTCCTTTTCAGTCCTGCAGAAGTACTTATTAGGTAATAAAATCTCAAATCATTTTTGTATTCAACATGTAAATCATAATGGATCATCCTTTATTAAAAATCATATAAGCAGAACTTGTGTAGTATGCATCTAGATGTGAAAAAAAATTTATATGAGCTGCAGACACTGCATTAGAAGAAGATACTATATTGTTGATTCACCATCATCATCATCATCATTAGCACCATCCATTATATGGGGTCAACACAATAAATCCACATATTTAACTTGCTCTCGCCAGCTTTGAAATTGCTCAATTAAGTACTGAGGCTTCTTTCGTTTATGAGGCCAGGCATAAGCCTCAAATTTACAACATTGAGTGAAGTGATAAATATTATATAAACTATCAAATGTGAAGTAAGAAATAATATGTAAATATTCTAACTTATTAAAACATTATAAAATAACATAACAACATTCTAAGTAAAAAAATAAAAAATTACATAAATTTAGAAGTAACACGTTAATATCCTAACATCAAACTAAGAAATAAGATGAGTTATTTAAACATTAAATTATCAAAGTAAGCAAATATATTAAATTAAAATAGTTATATTAAAACAAAACAATTAAACTAAATTAAATATAAGTTTGTCTCTCCCATACCCACCACTTAAACAAGAATATAACAAGTCATCAATATTTGAATTTTTAAATTTAAAAATTCCTATTAATCTCATTACTCGATTGATTTTCATTAGAATCATCAGCATAATGAATTGTTTATATTGCGCCTTATCCTTAGTCGTATCTATATCTTCCCATTCCTCATTATCTTTAATCACAGCTATTTTCTATTTTTAATGAATAATCAACAATAAAAATTATCAATTAAAATAATAACTATGTTGATAGTTAGAACTTCAACACATATTTTTTTTATGGATACATTTTCCTTTTACTCTTGTTATTTAGTGTGTGAGGTGTGAGGGTCAATAGATGAGGTATATTCATTTGTAAGGCGTGCCTTTAGTTTTGTTTAAAAAATTTGAGTATAGCCTCAAAATTTTGAGGCATATTTTTAGCCGAGCACGCTTCAAGGCATGCATTAACCTGGGTGAGATGCATATAGTGAGGCGTAAGCCTTATAGCGATTTTTTTTTTTTATTTCAAGTGATGAGGTAAGCCTAAACTCTCAAGGCCTCATATTGGGTGGGCAATTTTAATGTTCAACATATTATCCCTGAATTATTTTGAACAACTTCTACTCTTAAAACTTTAGGTCCAAATCCTTTTCCACTTAATTCTTTGGAATAAACAAAATCAACTTCTCTAATGATGACACTTTATATATGTCTAAAACCACCCAAATCTATTTTAATCACCTTATTTTCAATAGTTTTAACTCCACCATTTCTTCTGATAGAATCATTCCACAATTTATCCTTCATAGTTTTATTTCCACAATTTATCCTTCCTAATTTTATCATACATACATCTTACAATTCTCACTTCTACCACACTCAGCTTGGATATTAATGACATCTTTACAACACAACATTGAAATTCATGTAACATCAATGGCTTAGTTATAATTTTATAAAATTTACCTTAAAAGTCTATGATATTATCTTATTACACAAAACAAGACACTTTTCAGTTTAATCATGCAAACTTATCTGAAATATATAGTTATAAAAATCCTCATTAGGCCTTATAATACATCATACTTAAATATTTCATGCTTATATATAACATTATCATTACATTAAATAAAATGATGATTGTCAAAATAATATGTGATAAAATTACACATCATATACTTAAGTCATTCTTCTACTAATTTTATGGCCCCAATCTTCCAACACTTCCTCCACTACTCTACTTTTTCACTTTCAGTGAATGTTTCATTCATTATAAGGCATCTCATTTTAAACATCCTTTGTAAACATTGTCATAATACAAAAGGATATGAACTAAACATCAAACATTGTCATAGACCTCTGACAACTAAAAAATCTTGGGATATTCCACAATTCCTTCAAATACTAATCAGTGACCAATCATGCATATCTTTAACAATGTAAGCATCTCTTTCACACAAATCTTCTTTTCGAAAAACACACCAAATTAGTCAGATAAAGACTTCTTCTTGTTGTTGTTATACATAAAATTAATTCTTGTAATACTCAATTATAATCCTTCTCAAACTTAATAGAAGACATGTGACTAACTTAATGAAAGATCTTTCTAACATGAAAGCAAATCGATTATAAAAAACTGCAGATATTTTTTCCATTCTTGTGTTCCATTACTCTCTACTATAACCTCATTATATGATTCATATGCTTTATTCTTTTATAGCTAAGAAAAACCTAAATCCACTTCAATTGTTTTAGATCTAAAAATGCAATATCCCTGTAACTCTTTAAATTTTAATATAAATCTCATCTAGACCTAAAAAATTATCATTATGCATATTTTTAAAGCTAAATCCACTTCAAAGTTTTTAGATTAAGCTATAATATACTTCACTATAATGCTCTCTTTGTTCTCGAACAATAATTGCTTCATTAAGCTCTCACTTGATAATTTCTCAGAATAATATTTTCATTATGCTTTCATTATAACAAATGCTCTATTTCCTTCCTATTGAATACATCTAAAATGATAAAAATCCTTGAATCTATTAACACTTATCATTAGTTATTTTATGCATATCATTTCTCTCCGTTATGCATCTTCACTAATTATCCTTTTAGAAAAGTGTTTACCTTTATTAAAACATTATAAGATAAAATAATATTCAATTTTTGTCATCTTTTAAAATAACATGTCATTTCCTTAGTAAAACGTTGTACCTCCTCACTCCACCAAATCTCCTTATCAATGTATCATATATTTCTAGACTATCTTATAACTTCTAAATTTTCTTAATAAAAAATGACATCTCATCTCAAATCAAGTTTGGGTTAACCAAAAATTCTAATTTACCTCCTTTAGCAATATATCTTTCGAGATTAATAGATTTTCACATGTCAAAATGACCATCATATACCAGAGCACAATCTGTTGTGAAGTTTTCGTTATATTCTTGTGATATATATTCATAACTGATTACATACTTATCCTATATTGTGTGATTAAGCTCCCCTTGAAATCACCTTGAAAACTTTGCAGAGATTTTCCATCACTTTCAAGTTAGAAGAAATATTTTTATTACTTGGAAAACCTTTAAAGTGATCTAGTATTAAAGCACATGTTTACTATTGCAAGATCATATGCCACTGTGCAATAAAGCACAACTTCTTCCATTATATTTCTAAATCCTACTACATAAACACTATGAATCCTCTCATAGCTCATATTGCTATAGCATATATGCCCATTTAACTCACATTTAATAACTATCATTTCTTCAATAAAAAAATGTTGTAGTACATCATCAATCTCTTCTTAGATTTGATTTTTTAAATTACCTTTAAATCCAAATTAAGACATTCAACACTATTGTTATTATACATTTTCACGCATAGTAACTTATAATACTCCCTAACATCTATGAATTTTCTCTTGTCCACTAATTCTTTTGTATTTCTATTCAAAATTCACTCTGAGTGGGATAACTTTTTTTTTTCTCTGCTTTTTTTCACATTAAATGAAACTAACAAAAAACAATGCACATTTGGAAGACAGGATTTACAAAATTTTGCCTTCCAAAAACTCCTATAGAGAGAGATGTTTAAAATTATTGTTGAGAAAATCACTATCAACAACAAAAAATAAAAAAATCAGAAACCAACACAAACAAAAAGCCCTAATCCAATATGTTTCCTTTGTATCGCCATTTCAAATAAAATTAACAAGTAATTTTCTTCTACAAGTTCAAAAATGGTATAACAGGTAGCAAATAAATAAAGAATAGCACGTATGGACAAGAGCTAGTTATTAGATAAAAGGGTATGGACCGCTTCTAATAAAAACAACAGCTAGGGATAAGCTTCATACATCGGTTGCTTGCTTGGAAGCTTTAAAAGCATTGACTCTAAACTATCCAATTTTGTCCCAAGAATAGTTATTTTCCTCCGAATAGCAGACATATGGCGCTGAGTTTCAGGTCCTGATGGAGGTAAGGAGCCCTTTTCCGAAATCATGGAATTGATATCATCAGCCAGCTTCGACGCATCATTCAACTCTCTCATCCATGAATCCAAGGAGGATGCCATCTCTACACCAGAAAAGCAAATTAATTAACAAAAGCTTGATATTACACTTAAAAAATCTTGAAATCATAAACATAAGCATGAAACGGTGTATTTCGCTTTTAAAAATATAGCGATGGTGATATTTTTTATATCATGTCAAGGATTTCAATTTTATGCATGTAAATATGAATGTTTTGGTGTTATACATGTAAATACATAAGAATTGTGTGATATGTATGCAAATGCCCCAAAAAGAAAAGATACATCAATTACCCATAACCATATGAGAACGGCATTGACTATAATAAAATCTTAGAAGTATGACTAGAAAAACATGTATTGAATAACATAATCTCAAAAACAAAGAAAAAGACACCAAAACATAATGGCATACCGGAGCAGATTTTCAAGAAAGTAGAGAGCCTGTTTATCATGTAAAATGACATATTTGTGGCATTGTTTCAATTTGTCCCTTGCCATTCAAACATATAACAATGAAATGGCAGGATTTATGAAGGAAATATTTTAGGGAAAAATGGGAGCAGCTTAAGAAGACCAATTAGAGACATGGCCGCATCAGGAAAATATTCATATCCTACCCCGCAATACAATAACAGAGATGATGAGCTAACGCTCCATAAAAACTAGAACCAAGGAAACTTCAATTCCGACTCCACAGAGAAATGAGAAAAAGAGGAGAGAAGAAAAATTAAAATCCCGGGCATAAACATGAAAAAAACAGCAAATTTGGACAATCAAAAGACTAGCTCTCGGTACGGTAAGGAATCATATGAAAAGCGCGGACCTTACAGATGCAGAGGAATAGATTCGAGATGGAAATGGATCTGGTTGCCCTACGGAATCCGAAAAGCGCTGACCTTACAGGATTTGGGGCTCTGTTTGTACGCAGAATTTACTAAGATTTGCGTAAAATCCTGCGAAAATGGTTCCAAAACTAAGATGAAAGCTATGTTTCATAAATCTCCTTGTACCTCGACTTTCCTGTAAAACACGGATTTGATAATTGGTCCGATATAAGGAGGGATTAAAGCTGGATTTAACCTAAATATTGCCTGAGGGTCATTTTGAACAAAATAAAGCCTCGAATTTGATAAATCCGGATTTCACGGATTTCGGCCTCAAATCCCGTGAATCGGTGGATTTACTGAATCCGGAACGAAACCTTCGCGCAAAAAAAGAAGACGTGAAGTTACCTTTCTCGAAGCTTTCTGTTGGGAGAGGAGCGGAAGGAAGAGAGAAATGGAGTTTCGGGTCTCTGTGTTCCCAGCTAGCTTCGATTACGATTGTATCGCTAGGGTTGCAGAGCGGGGCGTGGGGGACGTGCGGGACGTGGGGGGAGGGATTATAATATTATCAGATTTATTTTAATTCAATAAATTACAATATTATCAGATTTATTATAATTCAATAAATTTATACTTATTACTTAATTATTAATTAACAAAAAATAAATATTAATTTATTTATTCATTTAATAAATTTATAAATAATTATTAATCAATATAATTAATAACTAATTAATTTTTTCTTATGATAAATATTAAACTTCTATTTAATGATTAATTTAATAAAATTTCATTTAATAAATTTATAAAAAATTATTAATCAATATAATTAATAACTAATTAAGGGTCTGTTTGGCGCAGCTGCAGCTGCACTGCCCCAGAAAGTTGCTACGGGGAAGCAGCTGCTGGGAAGCTGGCTGTCTGTTTGGTGCAGCTGTGTGAAAACAGCTGTGGGGCAGCTGTTTCTGAAAAAATGACCAAGCTGTCCCTGTTTGGTAAAACTGTTTAAAAATTGTATGTATATATGTAAAAAAATTTAAATATGTAATTGCGAATCGTAAAATTGAACTTTGTGTTATACATGTGAACACCTAGGAATTGTGTAGTATGCATGTAAATTTCCCTTTCAATTTTTATCCATTGGAACAATATTATGGAATTGTACTTATATAATGCTAATAGAAAAAATTGTATAAAAGTATAGACGAACTTATGAGGACGAAATTTTTCAAATGTACTGAAACATTACTCTAGATTGATTTTATTTAAACACACACTTAAAAAATAAAAAAGAAAAGAAAATTTACAACCACAAATTATATGTATTTATATATCTAACTTTAAAACTTAGTATATTTACATTTATAATATTTTTGGTGTGAAAAACTTACACATTAAAGTGTATCTAATTTACAAAAGACTCACAACAACATCAACCACCTTCTAATGTCTGAATTTCAAGGACAACATCAACCATATTTTGTATCTTCATTTTCTCGAGCTTAGGAGGCAAACAGGGCAATTCCTGAAGATTTGGGCAGTTAACGAGGGAGAGTTCCGTTAAGCAAGGAAAGAAACAGTCATCTGATGCCGCTCCATGAAAGCAATCCTCGAATACTAGTAATCCAATAATATTCAGCACCTCCAGCGATGAAAACACAGAAACCTTGTCATTCCCATGGAACATAAGATCACATTCTCAGTATGAGGACTTCACGAAATATAATGGAAGTCTCAGCACACCTATTTGCAGCAGTGTTCAGAAAAATTATATGGAATTTGCAGCATTGAAAAATTATTATATTTCATAGCAAATCTAAGAAGTAAAATGTAGCACCATATAAAAGCAACCTTTGAACTACAAATTGAACTTAGTTTCATTTCCAGATTCAAATTTCTTTAAATGTATGAAGAATTGATTATCAATTATCCAGGTACATCTTAAGTTAAAGAGGGAATTTTGGATGAAAATACAATTTCATTACTTCCAACAGATATCATAGGAGATAAATGGTAAAGCAAATGCCATCACACAATTCTGCCACCTAACCTTCATGGAGATGGAATTTTGATGCAACTTGAAACCCTTCGCCATGTGGTATGCATTACGTAAGAATTGTGTGGTATGCATGTAAATTCCCCCAAATATACAAGGCTCATTCTTATACATTGCTCATTCAAATATACATTTTTTAATTATGAATATTTACATATCTAACACATAAATTCAGAGTAAACAGATAAATTTCATATAAAAAAGGATAACATTTACATACACACAAAAAAATTCCTATGTATTTACATATCTAACACCAAAACTTGCATTTTTATGGTTTTAAAACTCAAATCTTTCCTATCACATAAAAAATACCACTACTACTAACTTCTAAAAGATGAAATGCACCTTTTCATTCATAGATAGATAAAGTTCTATAAAGATAATAGTCAAAACTTACATGTCAGATATGTAAATACATAAGCATTGTGTGATATGCATGTAAATCTTCCAAAATACAAACACAAATTAACAGAAACCAAAGTGCTGAGAACAGGTAAGCCCAAATCGCAAACAAAAATCTGATGATGGCCATTGTTCATCCTAAGAACAGATTAGAATCCAGAAGTAATCCTTCTTTTTTATTTTAAAGGTGGACGAACTGTAATCTACATTCACTTTTTCTTATCATGAATTAAGTGGTCCAGATTTTTATGAAATTTCTGAAGCATGGAGAAGGATTCGTTTGCTGTTCATACAGTCTCCACGGCAGAAAAAGATGTCAGAGGCTTTTGAAAACTTGAAACATCTTCGATATTTGAATCTTACTGCAAATCTCACTCAGATGCCAAGATCTCTAAGTAGTTTTTTTCATTTGCAGTTCATAATCTATGAAGAGTGTTCTTTGGAATCTTGCTCTGATAATTTCTTGCCTGACGATGTGAGTAATCTTACTAATCTGCGTCACTTGGAATTGCCCCGGAATGTGTTTTCTAGTGTTCCTGGAATTGGGAAATTAAGGTGTACTTTTGGCTGAAATCACTTGCAAATCTTACTAATTTGCATCAAACCCACCCATTTTTATGTCATATTAAATATTTTGGCTGCTATGCACTTAAATATTAAAATTTGGGTGTTAGATATGTAAATACATAAGATTTGTGATGACCTTTCCACAACTACCATAGAAGGAGTTCAAATCCAATAAGGATGACCTTCATTACAGCATGTTGAGGTCCATTTTAACACAAACTAGTGCTCAAATGCATCAAATTGGGATAATATTATAATCCTTCACACAAGAAGCTTCAAATAGCTTTACAGAGACATGTTAAGGAAATTAACAATGGAGCAGCATTGAGAACAAGGGAAACTACCAAGGTAAGTAACTACTCAACGCATCATTCCTAGGGAAAATGCCCCTGTACTATATCAGGACAGAAGAGCTTTTTTAATAACATCAACACATAGGAATTGGGTGGTATGTATGTAAATGCCCCTGTACTATATCAGGACAGAAGAGCCTTTTTAACCAACATATCAGGTTCAGTTTGGTAAAGACACAAACCAGGCTTGAAGCAGTACAGAATAGCAAAAAAAAAAAAGTTATATCAATAGAAAAAAGTTGACTACAATTAGGAGATCATACACTTCTGGGGAGTGGGGAAATAAAAATCGATTTAAATGTGTTTATTTACAAACATAGCACATAAGAATTGAGAATCAGAAGCTCATATTCTCCTTTGTTCCATCAAAAAACATATACACCAATAAGTTCTTTATTAGGGACCCATGGAAGCAACTGTTAAGCACAAAACCAAGAGCCTTCGAAGCTGCTTGCAAATGTATTAGAAATGGGTGTTATGTATTTAAATCCACATCCTAATTTCATTTCACATCTCTTCTTAATTTCAATTCATGAAAGTTTTCAAGTTTTCATTTTCAAAGACATGCCTCAGTTTATAATGGTACAAATATCACTTCAAACTAAGAAAATATTGCATTATTTATATTATCCAGACAAGTTAAGTAAAATGGGCAATCATAAACTCGTTCCTTTCGATGAAACCAAGACAGACTTCAACCACCAATAAAAATCGATTTAAATGTGTTTATTTACAAACATAGCACATAAGATTTTCATTTTAACCAGACAAGTTAAGTAAAAAGTAAGCACAAAACCACCAATAAAAATCGATTTATAAGTGTAATTTCCATATCAGGCTTTTACTTTGAAAAAAAAAGAATAAACTCTTCATCAATAGTATTTTTAATAATTTTTAACTAATAAATTCTCAAATTCTTCATTCATAGGCATACTATCTCATCAGTAATTCGTTCCCTCAGCTCTACCATCTCGCTTGCACCTTCCCCATCAGCGGTGAAGGCAATGGAAGCCTCAGTCTCTTCTTCTGTGAAAGACTTACCGGGAGGGCGGGACGAGGCGGGAAGAAAATCGCGGGCATTTTCGCGAGGGGCAAAACAAGCCTTTTTCAGGCTGCGAAGCTGCGCCGTGGGGAGGAAATGGCTTTCCGCTTCTCTTCCGCGTTAGCTTTCAATTGCCGCGAAGCTACGAGCCAAAAACCAAATTATCGCGATTTAGGGCCGCGAAGCCGCAAAAAAGCGGCCCCAAACGGAGCCTCATTTGCACCTAATAGCCTTCTATCCCCTTCTTCTGTGAAAATCTCTTTGCAATCAGTCGAGCCTTGAACAATGAACAGATATCAATAGAACATTTAACATGAACAGATATCAATCGAACATTATCTACCGCCTAATCCCTAACTTTAAATATTGAACAACAAGAGATGTATGTATGTAAAGAAACTTGTGTCCCTATTGCCAAGGAAGAACTACCCCAAGCACTTTCACCATTCAGCAAGAAATCTTAAGCTATCTGCTCTAAATGAATTATTTCATACATACCAAAATAAATTCAATTTCATATCAAGTTTAATCAGCCAGCTAATTTCTGAAATTCCTCTATCAACTCTGCTCGACTCGAAGGCTCAACCTGCATCAGATTCAGGAATAAAATCATAAGTACAGTTTCAAGTTATATCTGCAGTGCTCTTCTGTCATAAGTAAGTAAAAATGGATGCTTCTGCTTACCTTGGAGAGAAGGACATGAAGACCTTGCTTAAGAGCTTCCAGGTCAGATGAAGATGATTCTCCAAGGCTGGAGAGCTGAGAAAATTATAGAAAAGCACAAAAAAAAGCTCCCAAAAAGGCATCATTTCAATTCCAAGTCGTCAAGACTGAAAAGTGTTTTAATCTAAAAGTTGGGTTAGAGCTCAATATAGTAATCCATGAAATTATGCCTTCCAGCAGCAACATAACTACATGATGATAAATCAAACAAACCCATATGTTGGGTAGCATTTTGAAAGCAAAGATAAAGAATTCACATCATTGCCAAGAACCCAAAAGGTACATATCCATTAAAGCATCACAAAGCTTCAGAGAATCTAGTCCCTCCAAAAAATATAAAAGCAAAATGTCATATAATCAGGATTTTGAAACCTTTTTTTTCTTTTCATAGAAAACGAGGCTTGCTTTGAAGCCAGTCCCTCTTATCTTTCCACCATCTGTTTTTATGATCTAGTAATTGTGTAAACCTGAGTGCCAAATGGATCTTTGAAATGCTAGTGTATAGTAATTGCATGTGAAAATTGGGACATTTGCATCAAACCCACCCAATTCATATGTTTTTACAATTATAACACCTAAACTTCACATTATACATTTAAATCTTCACTTCACGCCTAAACTTCACTTTATAAGCATATATCACAACACAATTAGAAATTCTCAACAGCAAAATTCAAATCCTAATATGTATATCTTTCATCTATAAGCAAAATTTGAAGTTTGGATGTTAGATACGTAAATGCATAGGAATTAAGTGGTTGGTATGTCAAACTTCCAAATATAAAATAACCATACAAAGGAACATGATAACCATTCAAAGCAAGCACTTTTTTTCAGATGATATTTGGCCATAATCTTTCCGCACAAAGAACCCAATTGGAAAACCTTTCCAAATCATTTGTTCAATTGAAGAACCCAAATACAAACGAACATGATAACTATAAGCAAAAAAAGTTAACAAAATTGATGATGCATATTCAGTCTCTGGCAATACATACTGAAAGATTGAGTTCTAGAGCAATTGTGATGTCATCAATAAAATCTCCTACATGAGAAACCAATCCTTCCCCTAACCAACGCCAATCCTCAAATACACATGGAAGAAAAGGGGAAAGAAACGGAGCTGATCGATCGAGTACAGTAAACCACTTACAGCGTGTTGGCGTGCTGGATGTCAGCTTCGAGAACTTTGAGTGAGTCCTTGAACGATTTCCGCATGTAAACCATGAACATCTCCACCACAAATCATCCAGAAAAAA